ACAGTGAAACAACTGCTACCTAACCCTCGAAAGGCCCCTCGCCCCCCCCCCCTCCTGAACCAGTGGTGCTACTACTGGTTTTCTTTTTAATTTAAAAATGTCTAGCATAGTTGCTGCACTTCTTAAATACATATTGAAGGTTTTTGTGCCTAATGAACTATAAACGGAAAAGGAGTGTTGCAGAATTTTTTCTTTCTCTCCTCACCCCTCTTTTACTGTTTTCTAAAAGCACAGGCTCACCCGCCAAGTTCATTTTTGTCCATCTGTAAACGATTGTTCAGTTCAGTGATCTTTTCAATTTCTCGTTGTGCTGCAGCCAGAGTTGTTTCCATGCCACTGATCCTTGCCAGATTTGTTTTCATCTGCGTATCGAGTTCATCATTTTGGCGACGCATTGTGGTTATCTGCACTTCATAGCTATCGATCTGCTTCTTGAAATTATCAATCTCATGCAGATGACCTGAAATCATCAAGTTTTTCTGGTGTGGTGAAAGCGATTCGCAGCTATCCTCACAGATTTGAAATAGATAATAAGCTTTAACTAGTGTTGCAAATGTCTCGATCACAGTGGTACCTAAGGTAATCCTGTAGATTTCCAAACTATTCATAGCAAGATTTACTGCCAATGCGCGAGGGTTACAGCAATCGCAGTAAAGAAAAAAAAATAGTCGGTGAAGAAAAGGAACGAGAAAAAGAAAAAGATCATCGTAACTAAAAAATGTAATGATATGAAATAAAGCTGGCAATGTTCATGCCCACTCATTATCCAAAATATGCATGTGAGAATAAGCCGTGTTCTGGTGCGAGAAAGAAACTGACCAGCGCAGTGTCGCCAACTTACCCCACCAGGAACAACTCTACGTGCTACCTAGCCACAAACAAAGATGTGAAGGGAGCAGGCAGTGGAATGGAGAAAGGTGAACACATACCATCTGCAGCTCACAGTAATAAGCATGTGCTGAAATAGGAAAACTGGAAGAGAAAATAAAAACACCGAGAAAATCTATTCAGAAAAAGAAACGAACGCAGTGAAAAAAGCAGTAAACGGAGAATCTAAAGTGGTTGTGGTAGGGTGCCAAATGGTGCAGTGAACTGACAGCAAAGTTATCACGTTGTTTACAGTCGAAGTACCGAAACGTGCTGTGAAATCGAGAACCGCAAAGGGCGAGAAATTACAGTAATCGCAGCAAAATCAAAGAAAAAAGAGTATGTTGGCAAAATCCGGATAAATGTGTCAATGCAAATTTTTTGAGCGATGGTGTACATAGGAAAATTCAATCTGTCACATTCAATACTCTTTTTTTACGTTAAGCTTCTTGATTTAGCAC